CTTTACCATGATAACCAATACGTGAAATAAGTAAACACAATTTGACAAACAATATATCTATAATACCTTGCATATTTTACAACAAACATTTTCGGATACGTTGTAATATTTTGAGAACAATTATTTGCTGACGTTGCCACTGTACCTTGAGCACTTAGAGAATCTTTCCAGTATTCCACATATCATCAAATGAGGCAGCTGATCATCCCCCGTAATAGCGGGAATGCATGACTGTGTATTATATCTACAATGTGTGCTTTCAGTCGATTAGAAGGTGTGCTACCTCCTCCCCTCGTCTTTGATTTTGATTATCTACCTATATCTGTCTATACAATAACCGCCATTTGCAATAATGAGCGCACGTCTTGATACTTCATAAGCATAAACTTACATAGTCTACTGTCGACAGTATAATGAAATGAAACATTACGATAGCATTATAATAGAGCGGAGTCTAGATCGACCATTTGATTTAAATCACATTTTGGCACAGGCTTGAAGGCAAGGCAGAAGCACTGAAAGGACTGTATCCGGGAGTTTTAAATATCCGACACTCGATGAACCATCATCTCATAATTCAGGCAAAGAGGTGCCCCATCATATCCTAATTATTGGGCAGCAAGGAACCCAAATATCCTCTTATTCAGACAACGAGGTACCTGAATTATTATTTTATCTGGTGTATGTTGGTGACTATTATAAGCTGTAAAAACGGAGACCAGGCAAAAATAGATAATGTTGATATGGTGCATTTATACCATTTGACCGAATAACAATCTAAAATGGTAAGGTTTCGTAAGTTTGTTAAACTCCACGTTTCATCTGCAAAACAGAAATTCAAATCCATGTCTCATGGAAGATGTAAAGCCTATTAATAGTGCAGAAAGCAATCTCTCCCGTCTTGAATGCTTGTAAAAAGTAATTATCATAGTATGATTTCTCTATCTTGAAATCAGTGAGAATGTTTTTGATGTATTTGAGCTCTTTTGTGTACTGATTGATGCTCAGCAGACCCTGGTCGAGTTTAGCCCATGCAATGATAACTGAATCATCCCGACACACAGCAGGGTAAGCCGAAACACCATCTTTGTTGATGCTATGAATGATAGCACCAGACATATCGTTGATCACTTCTACACGATGCTGAAAGGTGATAGGTCCCTTAACGACAATCGCTTGACTGGATGTCATCGCAAACATCTGGCATGGTACAAATCCGTCACACGTTATCTCTCTAATTGCCTTCCCCCCTTCTGGCTTAAATACCTGTATTTTGGGGCAAATTACACAGTAACCTATGAAGATGAGCCCATCCTTGCCTACAGTGAGACCGCCATATCCAACTTCCGTTGTCTCAAACGTTACATCAAGCTTTTCACAAAGCTCTGTGTACAAGGAAATTATGCTATTAGGGTCGCGTATGACGTATCCACCATCAGGCATGACGTGTACGGCCATAACTTTAACCGACTTCAAAATGGTATCTTGTATGGTGCCCTCAGAAGAATAAATGAATATTCCTCCATTGTGACATCCAACAACCATCTTATTGTTTGGTGATATTACCATCCCGGTCATGCTTTTTCCAGCAGGCAGTGGAGCTTCTGTGCGAAGAACCCATTTAGACTTCGTATGTGTAGGGACCTCCCTGGTATGTGTTAGCTGGCCCAACCGGAGTTCATCCGATCCCTGACTCCTGAAGCCAATTCTTTCATCTTTCTCAATAGTTTTTTTGAGCAGCTCCGCATCTGGCCCAATCCGGTTTAGAAGCTCTTCAAGCTGTTGACACATCGTTTTATTTGGGGTAAGAGCCTCTGTGTGTATAGGAGAACTAAGACCACTCCTGACCAAGTCCAGAACCTTCTTAATCTCGTCTATCCGCTTACGAATCGGCTTCTCCACGTCTCCCAATGAAGTCTTAAGTTTCCCTAGCTTGTGTCTTACTTCATATTTCAACACCCTCTTTCTTTCCTTCAATTTCTCAACTAATTCCTCAAAAGTCGCATCTATTTCGCAATTGAGTTGTTCCTCTGCGTGTTGCATACTTTTACGCTGGTCTTCGATGAAAGTAAAGTACTTGTCAACGTTGCGTATCTTTGCATCTGCTTTAGATGCAAGTTTCTCGATGTGATTCTTTTGCTCAGTTTCATGTGCGCCTGCTTCCATGATAGTGTGAGCATTCTTTACATGCTCTAATACGCCACACATGCTGCAGACATACTTGTTACAGTTAAGACAGAAACATTCTTCATCGTAGTTCGGATGTTTTCGACATTTGTTCCATTTTCTTTGCCATGATGCGTTTTCTTGATTACAGTTGGAAATAAATACCTGGCCCTGGGTCTCCACATCTTCAACAAGTGATCTGACTGTTATGTTTGGTTGCAGTCTACCCACGTCTCCAGCAGGAACCGAAGTCTCCTCCCTGCACGTAGGACACAACAGATTTCCACGAGACTCCAGGAGAGTCTCAAGACAACCCTTGCAGAAGGTATGGGAGCAGGTCAGGATCTTGGGTTCCTTGAAGAAGCTCAGACAGATAGGACACTCGAGATTCTTATGGAAAGCCTCATGCTTTAAGGAAGTAGCCATCATTGACAACTCACGCACACGACCTGAGGAAGAAGAACAAAATTTGTGAATTAATTGGGCATTTCAATCAAAACTGTGAAATATTGTGTAAATACTTAGTAGGTTCCTATTATTGCACTGAAAAATGGTAAACATAATGCATTCCATTATTAATAGGGCATACCAGGTACAACATTATGGAATTACTTTACGCTTCTTCTTTAGCACTTACGTTACGAAGTAGTTCTAACGGCGACTATGCTTTCAGTAATTAGAGGCGTATGATATTGTTTTATTTAGCAATGCAATTGTGTGGGCATATCTTTTTTTATCGAGCGGGGATTCCCACTGACATTCATAACAGGAGGTTTTATGTTTAACCTTTGCACTTTTGATCCGCTTAACCGAACCGTTCACCCACGCACATCTCCCGCCTCCCGACTATGATTTGTTTTCCACTAGAGGTGGGAATTTCCACTCATAAATACTCCTTGGATAACATAACACTGATACTATCTGGTACTGCACGGTTTGGTTTCGGTTATATGTATTTGTATAATTTACTTATGCTTGAGTCATGCTATCTGTTATTCAATTTGGGAAATATATGGAAATTGAAATTGAACTTGGTGAAATATTTTAGTGTATTGTTAGGAACGTCATAATGCTGCATTACGCATATACTACTTTCATCTTTGTCTCTTTTCCTTTCCTCCATCTCTTTTTCTTCCATTCTGATCTCTCACATCCTAATATTTCACTTGTGCACTATGCTTGTTTCTCCGGTCTACCACCTCCTTCCATTTCTTTCTTTTGTTGGACTTTGTTGCTGTTGTTGTAAATGCATATTTGCCTTTTGCATGGATTGCCTTTTAAAGAATACGTGCAGGATGAATTGTTGGTGTCCCCCTCTCTATAATCTCTATAATCCTGTCCCAACTGACAAACATTTAATTGAACCCCTCATTGAATTACAATATTTTTGTCATAAGCCAAAGAAAATTGATGACAAGGAATTGAATTGATATTTGTGAAAATTATTGTTATATTACCCTCCACTCTCCTCGGGCACATGTAGGGGTGGGCTGGCACACCTACATGGAGGTAATGTTTCGTAAATATTCGATGATGGTGAGGTGCCCCCTACGTTATTCTATATCTTATCAAGTCTGTTAACTGCAAAATAATAAACAATTGCCCTATAAAATACGTCATAATTTTTGTGCCTGTACTAAACAAGGCACTTGATGAGTGCCAGATGGATGCAAAATAGATATTCTTTGATGAATTTGGTATTGGGGTGACGGGAAACTTTGTAACTATTCAAGGGGTGTCGTGACCGACTTCAAAAAGGTTTTAACAAACGTTATTATATAGTTACCAAGAGCTGGTCTTGCTACATAGCTGCATATTGGTATAAACTGATGTTTGATTATGAGCTAAGGAGTATTAGGAAAAGGTTCAGCTTTGTTCGTCTTTAGTACATCATGTATTGATTTATCTGGAGCCCATCTCTGTTGTCGAGTTTTTCTCTCTCACCCCTCTATCTTCTCCTCCTTCTCCCTCTCCCATTGTTTCCTATTTTCTCTCTCTCATTCTTCCTCCCTACCTCTCGACTCCCTCGCCCACTTTTTCCTCTCTCCCGCTCTCTTCTCCTCGTTCCCCAGCTCTCCCTCTCCGATCCTCTTCCCCCTCTCTCTTCTCTTCTTCCTCTTCCTCCTCCCTCTCCCTTTCTATCATTTCTCTCTCTCTCTCTCTCTCTCACACACACACACACACACACACACTCTTACGCATCCCCCTCCCCTTACTCTCTTTATCTATATTGTAAACAAACCTATACTTACTACAATGATTTGTGGTGACAATAATCATGCAGACAATGGAATAACATAGATCAATCTGTTTGGAAAATAGATGATATTTATTGTTTATTGTATACCTGAACATAGAAATACTATGATAGGAATAACGATCAATTTTGTTTTGACCTTAGGCTCTGACCAGCATTCGCACTTTCACCCATTGTTTGTGTTCTTTTATACATCGTATCTTTCTCAGTCTCATTTGGGTGTCCATTCCTTTGGCTTCTAGATTGCTTTGAGTTCATTATGACTTTCCAGATCTTATGAGAACATCCCTCTGATGTAAAACTCTTTCCACATCATGCTACATTTCAATTACAGTAACCCAGCTCTGTAGACTAGACTCCTTATCAGGATTTTGACCTTTACAGCTGATATGTTAAACGAACATCATCTACAGTAGCTTTCACATAGCTCGTGCATGGATTCTCTAAAAATCAATACTTTTGATGACTGGGTCTTTCACTTTTGGTTTTTTTTCTTCTTCACACCAATGACTCTGAACAAAGAACTGATTTTTCTGGAAATGTCAGTGATCAAATTCATACTTCAAGTTTATTCCATCTATTCCCTATAAGAAAATATAATTGAACATGAAATATGTAATTTAATTTGAATGATAGATATCTGACATAATTTCATCATAATAATAATTATGCTTTTATATTGCAATAATGCAGAGATATCTCTATCCTGTATTACAAAGATAATACAGAAATGTCATTAATCTAATATGAAATAATCATACACATAATGAAGAAGGGGGAAATTATCTTTAATGCATAACAGAATAACAAGATAAACTACATGTATAGTAGAACTTCAGGTATATAATACACTGATTTCCTTTCCAGTTCAAAATATAACCAGGAATTCTTAAATTTTTTAATGAATCTTGTACATACATGTCATGCATATTTGAAAAATATTGCCTTAAATAGGTTATTTATATACACCAAATTTATAAGTCTAACAGCATAAAGTACATAGAGCAAATTAATATAACATTAAATAATTAATCCTTAAATAAGTAAATTTAATTTAAATTGAACATGAAATTCACAATATAGGTGTGTTCTTTTTACATAGTTATACTATAGACTTAAATAACATACTTCCCCCCTTTATACAGCAGATATAGAGAAAGGTAAGGGAGTAAGGGATTGTAGAGAGTGAGGCCCTAACAAGTTTTTACGCACAGATCACGTACACAACTATGAATAATTATATGCAAATAAATGATGTCCTAAATTGTAAAATGTCCTTGGAACAGAAACAAAAAGAGAATTATGCCTTTACCATGACAATCAATACATGAATTGAATAAACAAACTTGGACAAATTGCATATCTATATAAAAATTATAATACCTTGCATATTTTAAAACAAACGTTTTCGGATACATTGTAATATTTTGAAAACATTATTTTGCATTTTTGCTTATGTTGCCGCTACCATGAACACTAAGAGAATATTTCCAGTATTACACATAGCATTGTAAGGAGGCAGCTGCTCATCCCCCGTAATAGCGGGAATGCATGACTGTGTATTATATTTGCAATGTATGCTTTCAGTCGATTACAAGGTGTGCTACCCCATCCCCTCGTCTTTGCTCTTGATTATCTATCTACATCTGTCTATAAAAGCGTAAACGTTACGTGGTCTACTGTCGACGGCATAATGAAATCGGTCAACATTATGAAAGCATTATAATAGAGCGGAGTCTAGATCGACTATTTGATTTAAATCACATTTCTGCAAAGGCTTGAGGGGACTGCATCAGGCAGTTTTAAACTTACGATGAATCATCTCATAATTATTGGGGCAAAGAGGTGCCCCATAATTATATCCGAGTCATTGGGCAGTGAGATGCCCCAATATCCTCCAATATAGACATGCAACGAGGTGCCTGAATATATTTTGTTATCTGTTGTATGTGCTGGTGACTATTATGAGCTGTGACAACGATTAGTATTTATGTTTGATCAACTCCACGTTTCACCCGCAAACTGAAATTTACTCCCATGTCTCATGGAAGATGTAAAGACAATCACTAGTGCGTAACGCAATCTCTCCCGTCTTGAATGCTTGCAAAGAGTTATTACTTGTATGTAATTTCGTTATCTTGAAATCAGTGAGAATGTTTTTGATGTATTTGAGCTCTTTTGTGTACTGAACGATGCTCACCAGACCCGGATGGTGCTTAACCCATGCAATGATAACTGAATCATCCTGACACACAGCAGGGTAAGCCCAATCACCATCTTTGCGGAAGATGCTATTGTAGAACCAAAGTACAGGTTCAGCTAAAATTAAAAAGACGTGAGAAAAGAAAGTGGTATTGTAATTTGAACTCACCGGAAAACTGGAGACTGGAAATGATCCAAAACTTGAAGTGTCTTCTCGACGAATTCACTACGTAGTCTCGTCGATGAAACACTCTGTCAATTCAACAAGGCAAATGCAATACACAATCTTATCGGAAGCTTCGACGAAAACCGAAACTATCAAGAATATATATACAATAATAAGATGTGCTCAGAAACAAAATGGCTGCCTCTGGCTAGCCCAAGCGTAAACCGAAGAAAAAGAATGAATAGCCTACTTGGCGAATTAAACAAATGAAGACTCGTATTTAATCCAGCGAAGAAAAGAAATACTACCGCAGACGATGAAATAGACCGAGAAAAATACAACGTCGCAAAAATCGTACGCGATATGTATGAAGTAAGGAAATGACTAAAACCGTAGACACGTGTAGCTCTGATGAGTACATACGGGATGAGTGGCGATAATCACGCTGCTTAGCCAAAAACACAAGACTATGGAACGCCGTGATTGGCGCTTATAGAAAAACAAACCATGGAGACCACAAAAAGGAAGTGCCGATATAAATAAAAGTTTGTTGACCCCACAATGGGTGTATGGAACACTACACTATGAATGATATCACCAGACACATCGTTGATAACTTTTACATGACACTGATATATATCTGAGACTACATGTACTCTTAACGACAATTGCTTGACTGGATGTCATCGCAAATATCCGCCATGGTACATATCCCTTACACGTTATCTTTCGTAATGCCTTCCCCCCTTCTGGCTTAAATACCTGTATTTTCTGAAGTCCATAGTAACCTATGAAATCAGCCCATCCTTGCCTACAGTGAGACCTCCATCACCACCTTTCGCATTATTCATTAGGGACTTTTAGATTGAGTGGACGAGAACACGACGAACGCCGACTGATCATGCGTGTCAACGTACTCAACTGCCCATGTTGACTACAATGAGAAATCTTTTAGATTTCATTCGGCGATATACATGCATGCAGGAAGTAACACTATGAACATGACGGACAAAGAAAGAGGACAAAATATACAGTTCTTCTTTCTACCCTCAACAATTGCTGTGGTAGAACATCCCTTCACTGCTATTATGTAAAAATGTGTAGAACAGGTGAATATGCATGTGACACCTGTTCCACACATTTTAACATAATAGCAGGGAAGGGATGTTCCTTTGTCTACCTGAGGAACTGTATATTTTATGCGCACGCGGTATATACTAGTACCGTACTAGATTTAGGAAAATCAAGGTTGACGCATTCTCGATCGCCGACTGAGACGACGTGACGCATGCTCAGTGCCTTAAAATGACGTCACACGTTGCAGTCAAAGCTATAGACGTGCAAATCTAAAAGTCCCTAATGTCTCAAACGTTACATCGCGCTTTTCACAAAGTTCTGTGTACAAGGACATTATGTTATTAGTGTCGCGTATGACGTATCCACTATCAGGCATGACGTGTAAGGCCCTAACGTTAACAGATTTCAGAACGGTATCTTGTATGATGCCCTCAGAAGAACATATGACGATTCCTCCCTCATTACAACCAACAGCCATCTCATTGTGGGGTGATATTGCCATCCCGTTCATGTTTTTTCCATAAGGCAGTGGAGCTTCCGTGCGCAGAATCCATGATTTAGAATTCTTTTGTCTTAGCTGGCCCAACTTGAGTCCCTCCGATCCCTGACTCCTGAAGCCAATTCTTTCACCTTCCTCTGCAGTTCTTCTTGGCAGCTCCTCATCTGGCCTAATCTGGTTCAGAAGCCCTTCCAACTGTTGACAGGTCGCTTTATGTGAGGTCACAGCCTCTGTCTGGAGAGGAAAATTAAGACCATCTTTATCCAAGTCCAGAACCTTCTTAATCTCGTCTATCTGCTTACGAATCGGCTTCGCCACGTCTCCCAATAAAGTCTCAAGTTTCCATAGCTTGTGATCAACTTCATTTTTCAACACCGTCTTTCTTTCCTTCAATTTCTCAACTAATTCCTCAAAAGTCGCATCTATTTTATCATTGAGCCGTTCCTGTATGGTATGCACTCTTTTACGCTGGAATTCAACGAAAGTAAAATACTTGTAAACGTTGCGTATCTTTGCATCCACTTTAGATGCAAGTTCCTCGACGTGATTCTTTTGCTCAGTTTCATGTTCGCCTGCTTCCAGGATAGTGTGAGCATCCTTTGACTGTTATGTTTGATGGCAGTCTACCCACGTCTCCACCAGGAACCGAAGTCTCCTCCCTGCATGTAGGACACAATAGCTTTCCACGAGACTCCAGGAGAGTCTCAAGACAACCCTTGCAGAAGGTGTGGGAGCAGGTCAGGTTATTGGGTTCCTTGAAGAAGCTCAGGCAGATAGGACACTCGAGGTTCTTATGGAAAGCCTCATGCTTCAATGAAGTAGCCATGATTGACAACTCAAGCACAGGACCTGCGGAAGAATTTTAAAAATGTGAATCAATTGGCTAACTTATCAAAAGTATGTAATATTTTATAAATAGTAAGCTGGCTATCATTGCACTGAAAAATGTTAAACAAAATGCATTCCATGATTAATGGGGCCTACCCGGTACAACATTCTGAAATTACTTTACGCTTCTTCTTTAACATTTGCGTTACGAAGTAGTGATCTAACTTCGACTATAAATACATGATTTCAGTATTGTAGAGGCGTTTCGTAATGCAGTGGCGGATCCAGGAGAGGGGGGGGGGGCCGTGTTACACCCACAAATGTAATAACGTCCACAAATGTAATAACGCCCACAAATGTAATAACACTTTACCCACAAATGTAATAACACCCACAAATGTAATAACACTTTACCCACAAAATAATTTCACCCACAAATGTAATAACCACTTTACCCACAAATGTAATAATTTCGAATCACCCACAAATGTAATAATGACTTAACCCACAAATGTAATCAATTTGAAGTGATATTTTGTCGAATTTTTTCAAAACTAAAACCCTGTAATAAAGCTTGGGTATAGCGCGCAGTCTTTACTCCAGACCCGGTTATTTCAAAAAATTAAAAAATCTTCAAAACTAAGACCCCATAATCCTTTTCCTGTGGAATAACATGAGAATCGAGCGTTGTCTCTCCTCCAGACACGGTTATTCAAAAGTAAAAACAAAACAAACCAACAACAAATTTTAAACTAAGACCCCATTATCTTCCAAACTAAGACCCGGTAATAAAGCATGGGTTTAGAGCGTAGTTTTTCTTCCAGACCCGGTTATTTCAAAACTTACGTTCATCACATGAAGAAAGGTAATTCATACACGCACTCATGAAAATATATCATCGCAATCCAACGTTTCAAAGTCACTAATAGCGTACATATATATATATATATATATATTATGTTACATATCGTGAACATATTTCATAATCACATGCATAAAACAATCAGCGTCAATATTTAAATACATTTAAGGTCACTTATTCGATTACTTTTTTTTCTACGAACATTGAATTCCAGGATATTTGTGGGCGTTAGAATATTTACATGATAAAACAAAATCGTCGACGGTCAACGAACCATCGGATCGGTCCCTCCTCTGTGTGTTATATATATGGACCATCTTGACTGATTCGTCAGTTCGTGTGACCGCCGACCAATCATTTATTTGTGACGTGTTGTATCCACATATGTAATAATGTAATTTATTTTTAAATGAAGAAAAAAGAGGATTTGTTTAAATTTCTATTTCTTTTGAAATAACCAGGTCTGGAGGAAAGACTACGCTCTATACCCATGTTATTCCAGGTAGCATATATTGGCACGAGCTTTAGTGGAGTCATGAATATTCATTAGTCCCTACGTCACAGACGTGCGGCGTGCGTAGTGTGTCATATAAACATGCACTAGTACACGAGTACGTTTGTAAGTATTAGTACATGTACGTTGCTCCAGAATGAAGAGAATCGCTATAAAGGACGAATTACTCCGTGAAGCCAAGTACGAACAGAGAATTGAAAGCAACTACACTCCCTAATCTAGCTAGTTTTGTTATAACAAATAGGTATTTTTTTCATAATAGTTTACTCTTTCGTGTCTTCATACTAAGGAACTTTTAAAAAGATGATTTGTAGAAAAAAGAAAACTGAAGAAAAGAAAACATGTGCACCCAGCAGTTCAATGCAGTTCCTACCTACCTAGGCCTACCTAAACCCACCTACAAAATATTACTTGCATGTTGCTTGAATAGTTGACAGCCACAATATTTAGTAAAAAATTAGGCGTTTCATGTATTTTAATACTGGTAAGTTGCTCGATATGATTTGATTCGATATATATCTCATTAATGAAACCATCTAAAGGCTAAAAGTCTCAAACATATCTTCACTATTAAACCGAGTGCCAGCAGCATTAAACCATGCCCCCAAATTTAGTGATCTTCTTTTGGATATCGAAATACCGAGGTTTCACTGGTTTATTTAGCAAAATGAACATTGTAAAACTATAATGTTCGAGTACATCACTTTGTATATGATTTGATCCGAGATATATCTCAATAATGAAACCACGCAAAGGCATTCTAGTCTCAATTAAACCATCACCTTTAAACCGAGGGCCAACACCATTAAACCATGCGCCAAATTTAGTAATCTTCTTTTGTGCATCGAAAGACCGAGGTTTCCCGGGTTTATTTAGGGAATTGGAAATTTGATACTATAATGTTCGATTACATCACTCAGTATATGATTTGATCAGATATATATCTCATTAATGAAGCCATCTAAAGGCTATTATAGTCTCAAGCAAACCTGCACCATTAAACGGAGTGCGAACACCATTAAACCATGTGCCAAATTTAGTAATCTTCTTTTGTGTGTCGAAAGACCGAGGTTCGATCATTGGTTTATTTAGCAACATGAAAATTGTAATACTATAATGTTCGAGTACATCACTTTGTATATGATTTGATCCGAGATATATCTCATTAATGAAACCACGCAAAGGCATTCTAGTCTCAAACAAACCATCACCATTAAACCGAGGGCCAACACCATTAAACCATGCGCCAAATTTAGTAATCTTCTTTTGTGCATCGAAAGACCGAGGTTTCCCGGGTTTATTTAGGGAATTGGAAATTTGATACTATAATGTTCGATTACATCACTCAGTATATGATTTGATCAAATATATATCTCATTAATGAAACCATCTAAAGGCTATTATAGTCTCAAGCAAACCTGCACCATTAAACCGAGTGCCAACACCATTAAACCATGAGCCAAATTTAGTAATCTTCTTTTGTGTGTCGAAAGACCGAGGTTCGATCACTGGTTTATTTAGCAACATGAAAAATGTAATACTATAATGTTCGAGTACATCACTTTGTATATGATTTGATCCGATATATATCTCATTAATGAAACCACGCTAAGGCATTCTAGTCTCAAACAAACCATCACCATTAAACCGCGTGCCAACACCATTAAACCATGCGCCAAATTTTGTAATCTTCTTTTGTGTATCGAAAGACCGAGGTTTCCCGGGTTTATTTAGGGAATTGGAAATTTGATACTGGTAAGATGCTCGATAACATCACTAAGTCTGATTTGATTAGATATATATCTCATTAATGAATCCATCTAAAGGCTATATTAGTCTCAAACAAACCAACACCATTAAACCGAGTGCCAACACCATTAAACCATGCGCCAAATTTAGTAATCTTCTTTTGTGCATCGAAAGACCGAGGTTTCCCGGGTTTATTTAGGGAATTGGAAATTTGATACTATAATGTTCGATTACATAACTCAGTATATGATTTGATCAGATATATATCTCATTAATGAAACCATCTAAAGGCTATTATAGTCTCAAACAAACCTTCACCATTAAACCGAGTGCCAACACCATTAAACCATGCGCCAAATTTTGCAATCTTCTTTTGTGTATCGAAAGACCGAGGTTTCCCGGGTTTATTTAGGGAATTGGAAATTTGATACTGGTAAGATGCTCGATAACATCACTAAGTCTGATTTGATTAGATATATATCTCATTAATGAATCCATCTAAATGCTATATTAGTCTCAAACAAACCAACACCATTAAACCGAGTGCCAACACCATTAAACCATGCGCCAATTTTAATAATCTTCTTTTGTGTATCGAAAGACCGAGGTTTCCCGGGTTTATTTAGGAAAATGGAAATTTAATACTGGTAAGATGCTCAATTACATCACAAGGTGGATAATTTGATACGAGATAATCTTATTAATAAAACCATGCAAAGGGATTCCAGTCTCAAACAAACCTTCACCATTAAACCGAGTGCCAACACCATTAAACCATGTGCCAAATTTAGTAAACTTCTTTTGTGTATCGAAAGACCGAGGTCCCCGGGTTTATTTAGGAAAATGAAAACTTGATACTATAAAGTTCGATAAAATCGGTCAGTATATGATTTGATTCGATATATATCTCATTAATGAAACCATCTTAAGGCTTTATAGTCTCAAACAAACCTGCACCATTTAACCGAGTGCCAACACCATTTAACCGAGTGCCAACACCATTAAACCATGCGCCAAATTTAGTAAACTTCTTTTGTGTATCGAAAGACCGAGGTTTCACAGGTTTATTTAGGGAATTGGAAATTTGATACTGGTAAGATGCTCAATTACATCACAAGGTATATAATTTGATCTGAGATAATCTAATTAATAAAACCATGCAAAGGGATTCCAGTCTCAAACAAACCTTCACCATTAAACCGAGTGCCAACACCATTAAACCATGTGCCAAATTTAGTAATCTTCTTTTGTGTATCGAAAGACCGAGGTTTCGCGGGTTTATTTAGGGAAATGGAAATTTAATACTGGTAAGATGCTCAATTACATCACAAGGTATATAATTTGATCTGAGATAATCTAATTAATAAAACCATGCAAAGGGATTCCAGTCTCAAACAAACCTTCACCATTAAACCGAGTGCCAACACCATTAAACCATGTGCCAAATTTAGTAAACTTCTTTTGTGTATCGAAAGACCGAGGTCCCCGGGTTTATTTAGGAAAATGGAAATTTGATACTATAATGTTCGATAAAATCGGTCAGTATATGATTTGATTCGATATATATCTCATTAATGAAACCATCTAAAGGCTATATAGTCTCAAACAAACCTGCACCATTTAACCGAGTGCGAACACCATTAAACCATGCGCCAAATTTAGTAATCTTCTTTTGTGTATCAAAAGACCGAGGTTTCACGGGTTTATTTAGGAAAATGCAAATTTGATACTATAATGTTCGATAAAATCAGTCAGTATATGATTTGATTCGATATATATCTCATTAATGAAACCATCTAAAGGATTTATAGTCTCAAACAAACCTGCACCAAGAGCTCAAGAGCAGACCCCCCCCCCCCGTGTTATACTCAAA